ATCCCAGCCCACCCTATGGTATCTGAATGACTATGATGATTATGCATGACGATCAACAACCCTTCCCCGTTGGGATAGATGGGGGCTTGCCCAAAGGGGCCCTTCAAATCCACGCCATCCCCCCTTTTTTTATTCTCCGCCAACACAACACGGGGCCATCTTTAGCTTTCTGAAGAGGTACTTCCTCCCGCCGGATGGAAATCCCCCCATCCGTGACAAGTCACTTTCGGACTCCCCCCCCCCCCCCCACTGGGTCACATTCAAAACCCCCGCTTTTTTCGAGGGGGGGTTTTGACCCTGACTGACTCAGCTTTTTGCTTCTCCCGAACGCTACCCCTAACTCGCAAAGTCCCCTATTATCCTCCTCCCTTTTATCCTCCTCCCTTCTCTCTCCAACCCCCATTCTCCTCTACTCTACTTCGCCTCTTCCCAAACCTCCTCATCTCTCATCTCAGTCACCAACCACTCAGCATCCCCCCTCCATCCTCGGCACCTTTCCCATCGATTAGTTTGTCTAGATCGTTCCTGTGCCTGACCTGCTCTCCCATCCCCTTTCCCTAGCTTCCGTGTAACCATCTACTTCTGACTCAAACCTCCCTTGTTCGCGGTCCTCCCTTGTACCCGTTCTCAACGGTAGGTGAACCCCTCTCCTCCCTCTCCTCCCTCTCCTCCCTCTCCTCCCTTTCCTCCCTTCCTCCCTTCCCTCCCTTCCTCCCTTCCTCCATCCATTCATCCATCGCACCCTTAACCATCACATCCACCCCCGGGTTTCGAATCAACTCTCATATCCACTGCCACTCTCTTCGTCTCCAGATCTTCAGCATCAATCCCGTCCTGGAGTGTGTCCTGCCATTTAGTCTCTCTGGAGACAGGATCAATTCACCTCGACTTACCGAAAACTCAATCTCAGACTGACATCCTCCATTCATTTCACAGCTTCCTCCGTCATCATCATGTCGGAAGAACTCTCAAAGGTCGATTCCGCCGTGGCTGGCCTCTCGATATCCCCTCCCGACAGCAAGAAGGAGAAAGCAGCTCACAAACGCACCACCTCGTCAGCCGAGGGTGTACGAAACATCAACGACCTAGGTAAGCGCACTGCACAGACGCACACCACCATCTCTCTGTGCCATCCGTGGGCGAGCACAGACTAACAGATAACCCCCGTGCAGAAAAGGAAGGAATCGAATTGGCCATTGCCCCTGAAACACAGAAGCTCAACTGGTAAGATTCGCTACGGCGTCGTGCCCCCATACATAATAGACCGCCATTCCATCTCCAAGGCACCGCACATCGTGGAACACCCGGCTGACCCATGTAATCTTCAACCAAGGAAACTCAACACCTCCCCCACAACCCTGGATGACAAGGAAGCTCTCAAGAAGTTCCTCACCACCCCGCCTGTCAAGCGGATAGATCTGCATTTCCCCCTAGGCCTGGAAGTCACTGCCCGAAACCTCAAGGGGGTCACAATCAAGGACGCGCTGGACGCTATTCACAAGCAATTTAAGAAGAAGGTAGGTGTCTCATCATCTATGCCCAGTAAATAAATAAATATATATATATATATACTCTCCCATCGCAACGTATGATTGTCCTTACCCTTCATCTCCAGGCCGATGACGAACTCGACAACCCCATCCTAGCCGGTTTCGAATGGGATAAAGAAGAATCATGGACCCGACTGATCGTCCACCAGAAGAAGCAAGGCGCCTTTATCGGCAGTAAAAAGTCCAAAAAGAAGGGCGGAGATACAGATGAATAGTTAAAAACTTATCCGCGTCCATGCACCATGCACCATGCACCATGCACCATGCTCGATGCTCGATGCTTCTGGTGAAGAGACTTGGTTGAATGCACCTCCGTGTCTCGGCCTTGCCCCTCATCTTTCCCAAACCCCTCTGTGGTGTTGTGCAGACCCATCGCATGCAATGCATCAAGTGCATCCGGCGCTGTTGTGTTAACTTTGACATGCTTTATCTATGTCGCCTATCTTTCTTGCTGCAAAAGGGAGATTTTGTTTTGGCAAATTTTTCCCTCTTTTTTTCCCTTGGTGGGATAAATGGGCTCCTTTCTTGTTACGATCCCAGAGCTGTGCTGTGTTTGTTGGTCTTTTTTAATTTACTTTCACACTTTCTCCTCTCCTCTCACTGTCTTCGTTTTAGAGCCGAGCTGGATCCGAAAAAGGAGAGTGCGTGCTTATAAACTGCCATTCATTTTTATGATGTTTGAACGCTGCTTGGCGGCTAACCATTTAGCTGTCTGGGCCGTTAGGGTGGGTAGGGTAGGTGATAGTTAATGTAAAGCCTCGTTTTTTTTCAATCTGCGGAATATGAGAATCAACTTAACCCACCTACCGAAGAAGTTACCCTGAAGTTTCGACGGAGCGGGGAAATTGAGAAAGTGAAAAGGTAATACAACTGGTCCTTCCATAGAAGAAGAAGTTGTAGAAAGAGAAGTCACTGTGTGGTAACTACCTGTAGAGCTTTCAATCGTTGCCCCGCCGTGAATCGTTTTGAGTATTTTCATGGCATCTATCTCATCACCACATTTAAGCTTACTTTGAACGTTGCCCCTATGTGTCACTCCCCCGCTATTCCCGTTTCCGACTAGCCCGTCCAACTTTCAACTTTGTTCAACAACGGGCTCCAACCTCATCAATCACTCTTGATCAGTAGTTTAATACAGCATAGATGAACCTGCAAACGGCACTGGGCCTGCGGGTATAAATATCCCCTCCTCTTCCTCCTCTTCCTCCTCCTCCTTCTCTTCCTCTTTCCCTCATCATCCTCTACTATAACCCCAATCCATCCTCCGCACGCAGAGACGCCTACCCCACCCATGCCTATACAGCGGTGGCTCTTAGGCCACCCTATATGGCCCAGCCCCCCTCTATATAAACTGAGATATCAACCATATTGTATTATTATTTATCTACCAAGTAAGGGTGGGCGTGAGCAAATCCCCCCACTTCCCTGCAACCTCTGCAATGGAAATGTTATACGTGTGCCCACCAACCCATATCTAGGGGGGGGGGGGGGTTTCTATGCACCTCCATATACCATACACTGCCTCCCCGATAACGGGAGACCGGATCTGGCCGTGTCTCAGACTAAGTGATTGAGACATCTGGAAATCACCACTCTCAATACTGTCAAAATCAATGAATTCTTTGTCAGTTGCATGAACAACACTTGTCAAACTGAATGTTGATTACTACCCCGTGTCAGATCTTAAGTTTTTAAAACATCGATGTGTCTGATGCTATCACACTGATGAAATCGGATATCACCACTAATTCCATATGCGATCTCAATGCTCATGATCAAGCAACTTGGTCTCTGGTGCATTCTACCTCTAAGATGTTCCAAGATATACAGAAGTTCAAAAAGGATAACTCTAGGCTCCATAATATGACTGAAGAAAAAGCAAGGTGACTTCCGCTCCTGCGAGCTGGCTATTACCCGCCGCCTGACAAACATCGACCTCGTTTTATGCTTCACCGAGCTCCGACGAGAGCACCGCCGTATGGATTAGCTACCTGGCCGACGCGTTTGATATATATATATATATATATATATACCCCTTATTTCGCCGCCTTCTATTTCCTGTTCGTCAACGCGTCCAACACGACCCGTCTGGGATTTCGCCAGTCAATGCGACGATGAGGAATGTTGGGGGTTATAGTATCTGTGCGCTGGCTGTACATGGTACTCGCTTCTCGCTTGCACCTTATCATCGTAGCGGAGTGCGGGGACACCTTGATACAAGGAATCTTCACTCATCCTATATGGAGCCAATCTTGCCTTCGCTAACGCGTATCAACGACCTGGCAGCATTTCGCCCAGAGAAAGGGTTCTTTGATCACTATCGACGCCGAAGCACGTTATATTGGAAATGTCGCTGCCGGCCAATCGGGCGGGGAGCGCTAACCGTTTCCCTGGTAATGTCCTATTTATCAAGCGAACCACTGGGCTATTTATTTGCCTTGCGCTCTACGGAGAAGCCTAAATTCCAGTACATCTCCTCCATGGCCCAGCGTAATGTGTTTCCCGGCCTCTGCCTGCGTACGCAGATGCGGTTCCTGGAACCGATAGTTGAATCCTCCTCATCGACGGTAGGACGGTGGTCGACACCGTCAACA